CGATTCCACTGATAGTCATAGTCTACCTGTTCTCTAAACTATGAGGCAATCTGTTCTAAATGCATATATGCCAATTAGGAATAATTAAGATTCACCTGTGACTAACAGCAATGTGATATTTCAAATTTTTCTTATTAAAAATATAACTGTTTTATTTTACAAATTTCGTGTATAAATGAAAGCTTGCAAACTAGAACGAATTTATAGAATATATGGATTGTAAGTGGAAGTGGAATCCGGAACACGTTATATAGGGGAGTTGTAGTCTTGCGCCGTTGAGTAGATTATTTAGAACTTGATACAAAACAGTGGAAGCTTAATCTATTTTGATATGATATTCATCATCTATCGCGTGAGAAAACATAGAGCTATCAGGAGATCTAGTGACTCCTTTTTTCAGCCATGCCGATATATGTTCACGAGCATGCAAGGATAAAGCCCTTTGAGTACGGTTTATGTAACTAGCTTCACAGGAGCAGATCAACTGATATACACACAAGGAGGAGCCCATAATCAGTGTCCTGTCCTTGACTTGTCGTTTAATTACTGATTTGGTTGGGAAGATTACACGTAACTTGTTGACGTGAAATGCCCTTTCAACAGATCTTTCGCGTCAATTTGTTAAAATGTCACCCGCTTGTCCCCTTTAAAATCACGGCTTCCCATAGTGTTCGGTTTAAGAGAGTTACTCACCGGAATTAATGGAAAATGGTCATTTGATGTCGTGGATTGATTGAGGTTAAAAATTAATGCCGTTGAATGCCGGATCAGTGGTCCAGAGGTTAAGTATTTGAGCACGAGATCAAAGATCCTGGTTTCAGGCCTAGAGTGTGGGATCATGTATGTGCAGCGCTGAGGAGTCCCATGCAAGGACGAAACGGCCATCCAGTGCTTCCAGGTTTTCAATGGTCATCTGAAATTGATCGGTTCATGGTCCTAATTAAAACTCAACAATCTCCACAACCCTTTACTGATTGTCTAGTGCTTTGAATATATCTATGCTTAAAAATAACAAATTATCCAGTGTTATTCTATTTTCTTATGAATGTTTGTTAATCGTTGACCTTGGATGTAATGAATGCGATTGTTTCATAATTTCAGTAATTCATTCTTATTAAGTAAGATATTTTTGATTAATTTTGTTATTTGTTTTAGTAACCAAATAGAATTATGAACGTAAATTTTATTTTTTGTGTTTGATCATCCGATCAGATCTACGTAATCTCAGAACGGTAGTTATTCTAACCATAACCTTCAGCAACTTACTGGGTATTCACTTAAGTGAGATATCCATTTTGACGTTCCCATCACTTCCCAGATTAGTAAATAAAGTACATTTATAGATTATCGATACTGCGGGTCGATTAGACATGGTAGTCGAAATGTAACGCACTCACTGAGAGGAATAGATGTCCTCGTTTTGATTACTGATAAGGTCATGACTGTGCATTAATGAAGAGTTAGAGACCATTCAGTGCTCCCTGGTGTTTATTAGTTGCAAAACGTAACCCGTTGTTTAAAGTAAATAGATTTCAAATATATTTTGCTATTAAACGCATTTCTTCGGCCTTCCTTATAATGGAAAATAGACGCAGTATCAGTAATCAAGTATTTGTAAGTTTTCCAGAGTGTACTATTTAAATGAAAGTATTAAAACTTATGAGAATGTCTGTGATGAGATGCTCTGAAAATAATTCAAATGGAATGATATTTTTAAAACGGTAGATAGATTTGTTAAAACTGTCAAATAATTTTAAATGATGAATAAAAAATTATAATGATTGGGATGTACACTATAAAATTAAGACAGTTGCTTTCAGATTAAGTTTATGAGAGTCAAAGTAGATAAATATTATTACTATGGAGGGTTTCTGAAGCTTGGTAAATTTCATAGTATGCATTACGGACCTATCTCAGTTTGACAACTACTGAGAAACAAGACGGACTGGACAGCTGCTTTGTACATGTATGGAACTAGTGATTCGTGTATACCCATGACTCTATGGAGAATCGAACTCAAAATGAGCAGGATTCATAACAAGTGATTAGCTTATTAACTAGCGAGTCAGCATCCGAAGGTTAACATATCTAGTTTTAAGTGACATAGAAAACTGAGATCATCGAAGTATTCTTATAAGTTTTATGCATTTTTATAAATCATTGGAAGGACATATATTTTCATGGTGACGGATTAAAGTGCCGGAGTGAACAACAACTCTGGGAGTTAAGTACTTTGAGCTGACCAGTTCTAAATAGAACAAAACCCGAGTCCTGGATCCCACTGTTAACCACCATTCATCTTTGCTTACAGTTCTTTATTTATCACATTCGTAATTACAGAATATATTCGTAAAATATGAGAACCATACATTAATTGCTTCATTTGCAATTCTTCAATCAATTGTGCTTTACACTTCATATGATTCTTCTAGTTCACAATTCCTTTCTGTTTCCTTTTCTGTTTGTTTTCAATTCGATCTTCTTAATCTTTTACTGCCAAGCATTCAACTTTTGATTGGTGTTACATACTACTTACATCTGCCGACATAAGTAGTATACCTCGAAGTACGAATTATTAGGATTCAAAAAACAGATTGATATATACGGAATAAATTGCATTAAATTTCATATATGAATGTTAATTTATTAAATTTGAATCAACACTTTCATTACTTGTTTACATTCATTCATTTTGTTTGTGTAAACCTGTTAATAATGGAAATTAATGATATATATATATATATATATATATATATATATATATATATATATAGATAGATAATAAAACTACAATCAAAACAATAATATTTTTAGTATTAAAATGGAGGAAATTTAATGGGTTAATCTCTTTAAGCTAAAACAATTTCATTCATATGTGATTCATTTGATTCTACTATTGTTCTATTCAAACTGATTATTTCTTCATAGAGACCAGGTTCCTTATTGTTTAAGTGCCTTATTAATAATGGGAGTATGTTATTTTTATTGTAACGTTTACTCGTCACGATAAGCTATATCAGTGAACTTACTTACGCCTGTTACTCCTAATGGAGCATAGGCCACCGACCAGGATTCTCCAACCCACTCTGTCCTGGATCTTCCTTTCTAGTTCTATCAAATTCTTGTTCATTTTTCTCATGTCTGTTTCCGTTTCTCGGATTAATTTGTTCTTTGGTCTTCCACTACTCTTTTGGCCTTGAGGATTCTATGTGAGGGCTTGCCTTGAGATGCAGTTAAGTGCTTTTCTCAATGTATGTCCTATCCACTTCCAGCGCTTCTTCCTGATTTCTTCCTCCATTGGAATCTGATTTGTTCTCTCCCACAGTTGGTTTTTGTTGACAGTATCTGGCCAACGGATCCGAAGTATTTTGCTCAGATCACTGTTAATAAACACTTGTATCTCCTAAATGATGGCTTTCTTCACGTTTCCGCCTATATCAGTAAAGCAATAACAAATTATAATTTGAAAAATACTATTCTATTTTCACTACTCATTTTTTTAATACTAAGAATTTTTCTTATGCATCAACAAATAACTAAGTATTATCATTTCGGTAGGTTTCTTTGTTTTTCCGCCTCCAAGTTTATTTTTATCGCTGATATGTACATATAATTCACAATATATTTTCTATTCAGAATCATATATTCACTTCAATTAATATAAATACAGTATTTAGTATATTTTCTAGTTGAAATAATATTCATTCATTTGTACAATTTCGGTTAATTAAGTTTCCTATGGAAAGGATTTATTTGTTAAACTAATAAATCAAGAGGTATTCCATTGAAGAGGGTTTTATAAAGATCGGTTCAACAACTGATTGATATTCATCAATAGATTAATCTCAAAAGATATTCGATTTATTTAATTTTAGTATGAATCTTCTTAGTTGTATGTATCCATGAAATCAACCCAGTAGTTTTAATGATTAAGTGTTTATCATAAGAAATAAGAGTAGAATTAAATCTCCACCATGATTGTTGATGTTCACTATTGAGAAATTGCATACCAAGATAAAAACTACCGTTCATTGCCCTCTTGCTTTTATCGGTAACATAAATAAGATCAATCTATCATGAATACAATCAAAAAATATAAATTCTAATAATAATAACATTCAACAGAAAACAAACGTACACAACTTTGAATTCCGCTTTTGATCTAGTTTCTATTTACAGTGTAGACATTTCAGTATTGGATTTTGAAATTTATTTAAATGAATACAATCTGGTAATTGAATATTGAATATCCGAATGAATTTCATTTATTTTACATTATAATAAAATTCGAGTGAAAACGCCGGATCCTGTGTGGTGGATCAACCTACATGATATTCATATTACGAATAGTATATTTTGATATGTATCAGGTTAAATTAATAATTCAACAATTAAACATTAAATATTTGGAAAGTATTATATGAGAAAGATTGTATAATTTTAACAGTTTATGGTATTGAAATAATGTTGTTTAAATTTCTGATAGATTTGAATATTAATTCACTGTAAGTCAAAGATTAAAATTGTTTATAATATACTAAGTTTATTTTAGTCAACTTGTACAACGTACTAATGTAAATATAAGTGTAGGGTTGTGAAGATTATTAAGGTTATGGAAGATGGTCGCGCAATTTCGTGGATTGGTTGAAGTTAGACATTAACACCGTCGCATGCTGGCTCAGTGGTCTAGAGGTTAAGCGTTTGCGCGCAAGACGGGACTCCCTGGGTTAGAATTCCGCTAGCAGGATCATGGAAGCGTACTTCTGAAGAGTTTCACAATAAGATAAAATGGCCGTCCAATGCTTCAAGGTTTTCAATAGTGGTCTAACATCAATTGGTTCATGATCTCAACAATTGAAATTACTACAATCTCCACAAAACCCCTTCTGATACGTAAGATACATTTAATTCTACATGTTTCCTGTTTGAACTTTTCAAATATAAACAAACATTTCATTTGATTTCATAAGAAGTTTTCAAATATATTTCATTCTTTTCAGCTATTGGCTTAATAACATTTCTAACAATTAACAGTGAAGAATACAATCAAGGATTATTATATAACTCCAGGTAAATAATCAGTTATTACATAATCTAGTGTAATTAAGAGTCATTTTTGGTTACATTTTAAAATACGTAATTGATATTTATGCATACCTTAAACAACTTGTCGCAAAACAGTAATGGGTCAGAACTGGTTTGATAATTGCAATTTATGTAAAGATATATATATATATATTTCCTACGAAATTTGGCTTTCATAATTTCATGCCAAGTGACGGAAATATTTATGTTGACAATCGACCAGCTTTTAGTAAAAGAAATCAGTATTATAAAGCTATTTCATGTTATACACTTGCGCGTACGAGATATTGATTGACGTTTACCAAATCGTCTTACAAGATGACTAAGCACATTTCATAGAAGGCATCGGATTAAACAAATAATAATAATTAATTTGAGTTAACAATAACATTCAGCGGATGACTCTTAAATAGTTTTAAGGGTAAGGTTTATGCCATGAAGACTGGAGAGATTGAATTCGATCTTTATCTAGTTATGAGTGTGCACTGCTGAAAAGTTTCAAATAAGAATTAAAAAGCTGTTCAGTGCTTTCTGGTTTCCAATGATTGCCGAGTGAAGGCAAGTTCGTGATTTAAATGGAAACGTTTTTATATCTTTGAATAAATAAATATTAAACTGTACACCTGGACATAGATACAAATAAAAACATACTTGAGGGGGTTTTTCTGGATATTGTAATGATTTCAATAGTTGAGATCATGAGTCGATTGAAGCTAAACCACCATAGAAAACCCAGAAGCACTGATGAGGAATCCCATACTAGGACGAAACGGCCGTTCAGTGCTTCCAGGTTTTCCATGGTGATCTAGCTTTAACTGACTCATGATCTCAACTATTGAAAAAATCATATTTGTTTGATAAATACTATTTATCACGTTTTTTGGACAAAATCGAGGTGAACATTTTCATTCTACTAAAATAAATTGGATAGAAACATAAATGAAAACAACTGTAGAGGAAGACAAAACCTTGTCGAAATTACCATCTCAAATAATTGGAAAAGATAAGTTATGTTTGACATGTTCACACTATAGTGTGTACTATGTTAAAAGTTTACAAAAATGTTGTTATAAATGACAGTTGCAAATAATTAAAGTCGAAACTGAATGACTAACACAAGTTTAAAACACAATAAACAAACGATTTTCACGTACTTCAACATCGTTTATTTTCGTTATACTTTGGAAATTAGGGAAATAACCAATGATAATATGAAATCTTCCCATTATGATCTTTTAAATATTGAGAACGAGTAACACAGTAAAATTTACCGACAAAAAAGTTTTGTGTTCATTTCATGATTTAGATTAAATGCATATAATAAGCGTTGGTTTCCCGTGAAAGAATTTCATTATGATGAACCTCTAGAGATTAAAAAAAGGTATGATAATGTATTTTATCATTGATAATAATGTGGTTTATATTGGTTATCAATAATCATGCATTTGGTAAATAAAAATAGATCAGTTATGAGAAAAAATGACGTATCATGAATTTCAAATAAACATATTTTATGATGAGGTAATAGGCAAACATTCTTTACTTGTACAACATAAGAACTCAGTAGCTAAATGGATAAGTCGATGGCGCCAATTCTAGAACAGTGATTTATCAACCGGACCAATGACGCGTAAACCTGTACGAGTAGTCTAGAGTCTTTATCGGTCCTTCTTCTTGACTAGCCCTGCCTATTGAGCCCAGAATACCAATCCCATCCTCTGCAATATGAATCGTATATTTCAAACATAATCGGTTTATATACAAACCAAACAGAGCATATCGTGCGCAAAATGGAAAACAACATTTGTACAAGACCCAGCCCAAAGTGGCTGTGAATGTTGGAGACTGTAATTAATAGACTGAGCAGAACTCAAGAACGGTAAATCATATATTAACAGTTTCTAGGTCAAAATAAAGCTTATAATAAGAGTATAGATATACATAATCTAGCTACTGAACAGAATACTCATATAATACTTTTCCATAAAGAGATCTCAGTTACCATTCATAATTCTCGCTGGGATACTTCAGTTGTGACTATAAATATTTTAAATGCACACGTGATTTTGTTTTGTTGGATTGTGTGTTCAGGAGGGGGGTTAAGTGAGCACAAAGTTTGTTTACTTACATCCACAAAACACTGATTTGAGCCTTCTTATCAAATATATTTAGCTGTCCAACATTAAACAAAATGAGCTGCAATTAAACTAACAAACACTCTGTACCATGAACGACCGGCTTAAATCATCATTGTGTACTAAGTGTCGCATTAGTTATTATTAAGTGATTAATTAATGTGGACTTTTCAGTCCTACAGGAAGTATTCATAGTTCGGATAACTGTACGGTAGCATCACTGACTGTGAGATTGGGTGACATGGTTTGAATTCCATGAGATGCATTAGTTCAGTGAGTTAATAATCGAAAAACTTATTCTCAATAGAAGATAACTATTTTGTAAACAATTGATTTATAATGTTATTTTATTACCGAATAACAAACTGTTTTATCTGAACACATAACGAAGTACGCGATTTTCTCGTTTTGTATAGAATACTTATACTCAGTCATAAAGTGCTGAAAAATATCACCTGTATGCGTTTACACTGTTGTTCAATGTAGTACACTCACCTAACAAACAGACTGGTGTTTGTAAGTATTAATGATGAGACGAAGTAGCTGTCCAGTTCTCTTAATTATACCATTCTGTGATGAAAAAACACTTATGTGAGTAGTTTTTATATGTATATTTCCACATGTGAAGCTGGGTTATTCAGATGGGGATTCCATAAGAGCATTAACATTACAGTTACATTTTGTTAACCAATGTCAACTAGTAAAAATTCTAGGCAAAGGGTTTCCTACCGACTGCTTCCAGCCGCCTGATAACTCAAAATGAATAAACTTGTAAAAATACATAAAAATGTACAGGTAATTAACCAAAAACATAGCAATCAATGCGGAGATATTATTTTGAACCCATGCTGTTAGAGTCTCATATAGGAATGAAGCAGTGATCTAGTATTTCTTAAGCTTCAATCATTCCACTGATTAATTTCAAAAGAGTTTGATTGAAAGGTTTGTGTAGAGTTTGGTTTAATTTAAGGATTGCATTCACTACGATATCATCAGAAATAGTACCCAGAACTTCCAGTCTAACTGTGAAAGCCTGATTAATAACATCATTGAATTGGTAGGACTCCAAATTCAATCAATATGAAAATGAGTAAACATAATCAACTTAATAAAATCTTTATACCATTTTAATGTTCCTTCTGTATTTTAGGCCCCTAATGTTTCATAAACGCTGGTTTCCAGTGAAAGAATTCCATTATGACGGACCACTTGAAGTGAAAAAACGGTAAGATAAATCTTTTTTTATGTTATGTTAATGAAATAATGTTTCAACAAAAATTTCATTCATATCAGAAAAGTTTTGTGGAGATTGGTTGAGATCATGAGTCAGTTGAAACTAGACCACCATGGAAAACCATTGTGGGACTCTACAGCAGTGCGCATCACGACTTCGCCTCATGAGATTCGAACCCAGGATCTATCGGTCTCGCACGCAAGCAGTGACCAATGAAGTTCAATCAGGTCTGTTGTGAGATATCAGTTCACTGAAGACAATCGTGGATGTGTCGCTCAATTTTTTGGATTGGTTGAAGTTAGACATTACCACCACTGGATGCCGGCTCAGTGGTCTAATGGTTAAGCGCTCACGCGCGAGACTGATAGGTCCTGAGTTCGAATGTTGCGAGGCGAGGTCGTGGATGCGCACTGCTGAGTAGTCCTACAATAGGACGAAACGGCTGTCCAGTGCTTCCAGGTTTTCCATGGTGGTCTAACTTCCATTGACTCATGATCTCAGCCAGTGAAAAGGTTTCATTGTTTATGAAACATTTAAGAAGTAATCTTCTCAGATAATACAATACATATTTTGATTTCATTTGGAGCAGATGGAAAAATTAAATGACTCGGTTATTTTGTTAATAGGCTCATTTAAAAATTATATAGTTTATTTTATTAAATAATTAATTAATGAAAATAATTAAATAAAAATTGAAACATTGATCTAAATATAGTGAACGCTTTGAGGCACTGGATTTTAATTCCTGGTTGATTATAAGTACGTACTAGTAAGTAGTGGTACACTATAATGAAACATTTGTTCGATTTTTCCATTTCTCCATTACTTGTCTAACTGTATTCAGTTAATGATGTAAACCACCTTTTAATATCTAACTCTTCTTACAGACTTATTATATTGACAAACGTTTCAGTTTTACATTTTTCAACTCATAGTATAGATATTCATTGAACACTGTTTTCATAATCGCTTATTATGATTAACAATTTTTATTTACTATATATTAGGTAACATCTGTTAGATCCGTTGAATAAAGCTCCTGTCAATTACTGAGCAATTTCTTGAATCTATTATTTCTATTTAAGTGAAATACTAATGATAAACTATTTGAATAGCTTAGTAGCTATCTGAACTCAGTAACGTGGGGGGATAGCGCTTTAGTGTTTAATGTAAACTATACCTAGACTTAATATCAGTGTTGATATCAACACTCAGTTGTACGTATGTCCAAGTGACCAATTATGAACAAAATGAAACGTGCGTCCTAGACTCCACTCCTACTATTTATCTAACTTTAATTGAAAACATCCAATTGAATAGCAAAATAAAAGAAACTGCTCAGAATCCACATAAGCCTATAGGGACTGATCAATTACTTACTTTAATATTGACACCACGGATATATAAACCATTATAAATAAAATAAGTTTGGTTTTCTTTCTCACGATTATTACAAGTGATTGTATAATTAATCTAAATGTACTTGCATGTAACGTTAGAAAATACAAAACAAACATATCTGCAAAACATTTTACTGGCTTCCAACTAGTCCACATGATAACATAATTTAACCATTGGATTTATGATGATCACTCTATGATCAATCAGTATTTTTTATTATCAAAATGTACATCATTTTCTTTGTTTTTTTGTAATACAATTTTACTTCAGAATTAATTTCAATAGTACAATAATAATGGTACTTTTATGGTATAAAATGTGGTTTATTGTAATTTCAAGATATTTCATCTCTTCTTGTTTCTAAGAGATTTTTTTGTGCTGTTTGAAAATTGATCTTATTGATTATGATTCATTTGAAACGTTTCAAAGAATAAATGATTTCATGTTATTCTGAAAAGTTTTGTTTTTTGTTTATTCTTTTTAACTTTCATCCTTTTTTATCGGTTTCAATAATCTATAAATAAATCGACAGAGTAATGAACAAATTATATTGACAAATAAAATATTTTTATTGAGATCAGGAATCGATCAGTGTTAGACCACAGGTGAAAACTTGGAAGCACTGGATGGCCGTTTCATTCTAGTATGGGATTCCTCAGCAGTGTGCATCTACGATCCTACACATAAGACTGGAACCCAGGACCTCCGGCCTGACGCGCAAACACTTAACTTTTAGACCACTAAACCAGCATCCAACCAATTCATGATATTGCGTGATCAATTCTTCCAGGTTTTCAGTGATGGTTTAACATTGATCAACTCATGATCTCTAACAAAACTTAACAATCTCCAAAACGCTATACTTACTTAGAAAAATTGTTTAGAATTTAAAACATAGCTGAAAGACTGAATCTTTATTAACTGACTTTAAATCATTTATAAGTTGTTTCTAACAATGAAATAAGAGCTAAATAGATTAACGTTCACATTTATGTCATTTTAACCTGGAGAATATTCATTTAAAACAGATCTACAGTTATTTTCTCTGATAAATTCAGATGATGCAATAGAAAGATTATTATTATTAGCTTTAATCAATATTATATTTTTGGTACAACATAGAATTCTCAACGCAAAGTATTTCAACAAGTTTCCTTTTCATATTTTTTTATCGATCCTGACGATAAATATTGAGTGATTGCCAATTATATGTTAGCAGTTCGGGAGTTGACATCTGAATAATGTTCGTTCTTTTCAATGCATATTGCCAGCCATCATGATGCCGCTGATTGTACCTTTTCGTAACCTGTACAGCAAAATGTTATAAACGCGCCTGAATAGATTGTGCACTCAAAAGACTTAATGATGTGTTAAAACAAATAAGAAGACAGATAACTTGTTGAAATATCTAGATGGCAGGAACAGGTAGCTCAGATATTCAAGCAGACCGCCGACAGATGAAATGCATTGGAATTATATGATACATTAGTCCAACATACTTTGAACGGGATCACATAAATTGTGGGTTAAAAAGAAGCGAAATAATGAAAAAAAGCGATATTAATCACAACATTCTGGATATTTAATGAATATTACAAGAATAGGTTTTCAATATGTACAAATTATTTTTAAAGAGCTTCAACAAACCTACACGATCCGTCTTAGATAACTTTCAAATAAATCAAAATAGTTAAGTCAAAAATCAATATTATAATCTGTTTTAACTGTTTGGCTGTTGTAGAAGATGATTATTTATCATTTGCATTTATTGTATCTTGTATGTATATTTGATAATAAACTATAATCCCATTTAATCTTCTCTAATAACACTGATCCAATATGCAGAATGGTATAACTGATATTGTTTTTTTTCTTTTCAATAATCCAAGTTTTTCTCTCCTTTTTCAATTCGTCTAGTTGGTCTCTAGTTCTTATATATATAAATAACTTAACAATTTAATGCTCAATTAGATAGTTTAAAATTTATTACTTTAATATATCCCACCATTCTGATGAACTACATCTTCAGATTGAACTATCTATATAGTTAGTTTATTCTATCTTTGGAATTTTCTTTTTCTTTTTCCCAAAAAAATATAAATTTAGATCTAAATTTCAAGATAAACGTTGGTCTCCTGTCAAAGAATTTCATTATGATGAACCAATAGAAGTTAAAAAGTGGTAAGATGTATTTTTTTATCTGCCGTCATTTACGAGTTTACTGTTTTTTATTATAAAAAAACATCTCAATAACAATATTCTAATATTTATGAAAGAAAAATACACACTTAGTAGTTAAATAATAAATTTTACATAATCGAATAGCATTTATTATGTAGCTTACTGAAATATCTTTATTAAACTGTATTTTTGATTAGAAATTGTATACAACTTATAAATAAATATTAGAAGGGGTTTTTCTGGATATTATAGTAGTTTCAATAGTTGAGATCATAAGTCCATTGAAACTAGACCACCACGGAAAGTCTGAAACCACTGGACCGCCGTTTCGTCCTACTTTGGGACCACACTTAGGTTCGAATCTCGTGTGGCGGGGTTGTGAATGCGCACTGCCGAGGAGTCCCATACTAGGAGGAAACGGCCGTCCAGCACTTCCAGGTTTTCAATGGCGGTCTAGCTTCAACTGACTCATGATTTCAATCTGTGAAAATGTTTATCTATTTGGTTGTTTATCTATAGACTATGAAATTTAAACAAAATTATAAAACTATGTGTGTATAATTTTTAAGGTTATGTCAAAAAGGCATTGATATGTTATATACCGATTGAATGTGTATTTTGTAAATATACACAAAAATCTTAAGAAACAAGTTAATAATTTAAAGTATCTACTGATTGATTCAATTTGATAGTTATCAGAATAGGGTTTTGTGGAGATTTTAGCAATTTTATAGTTGAATTCATAAGTCAGTTGAAGCTAGACCATCATGAAATTCATGAAAGCACTGGATGGTTGTTTCTTCCTAGTATAAGACTCCTCAGCGGTGCGCATCCACGATAGATGCAGGCTCAGTGGTCTAGAGGTTAAGCGTTCGTTCACAAGACTGATAGGTCCTGCGTTTGAATTGCACGGGGCGTGACCGTGTATGCCGACTGCTGCGGAGTTCCATACTAGGACGAAACTGCCGTTTGGTGCTTCCAGGCTTTCTATGGTGGTCTAGCTTCAAATGACTCGTGATTTTAACCACTGAAATAATTTATTGTATATAAATAGTTTTATTATATCATAAAATAAACTATTTTATAATAACTATTATCCTATTCTTTGTGATTGTCATTTATTTCTAGAAAACGATATTACCTATCTGAAACATCTTGGTTATCTTCATGAACATTAGAATTAAATAATATTTTCAGTAATTGAATGATAACATTACAAAAATGTATACATATTTCAATATTGATTTGAATTTCTAAATAAATATTTACAATTAATATTTGATTGCACTTTTCTATCTACTAACTAAAGAGATAATATCTAGATGATTTAATAATTAATTCATAAATTCACTTAGTATCATTCGCTTGTATCTGTCTATTGTTGTTAAGGCTGCAAATGATTAGTCTCTTGTTGATATATATGCATTCTATGCAGCTGACGAGTCCTAAATAGGACGAAATCCGCGTCTTGGATTCCACTGCTAGCCACCATCCATCTTTGATAATAATGAATTCTGTGTTCTTATAGTTATGAATAAAAATAATAATTTTCAACATAAACAGAAATTAGTTGAAACAAATAATGAAAACTATAGAGAGATCCACAGCCATTTGATCCTTGTCAAGAATTCCACTGTAACGATAAACTACAATTTTACAAACGATTAAAATATCTTTACATCTTATGGTGAGTTGAATTGAAATCTAGTGATCAACATTTTTGTAAAGTTTTATTTAGCTCACAATAGAACAAAATGAGTGAATTTCACTACTTACAGTGTATTATCAGCATTTCAATGATTTGTGTATATTGGTGTATCCATAATTATGCAGTTAGATATGTAGTGAATGATTCATTACTGTAGTAACGTGTTAAAATAAACATTGATAAATTATTTAAAATTGACTTAAGTTAGTTAACCTGATAACATTCATACATTTTTTATGTAAATCTAAACTGAGCAATGATTAATAAAATTGGTTACAGATATCCATTGTTAAGATACAAAAACAATGTCTCATATAAAACAATTTGGCTCAAGTTACTTGACAGATGAGAAGAACATTCTGTTTCTTTTCAAAAATACGAATATTATTATAATAAATTCTTAAAATAGTTTCTTCTAAGCAAACATGAGAATTCATTTGTTCTTTATAACTAGTCGTGTATTACATATTTTTAGAATGGGGGATTGTAGAGATTGAGGAGTACCATAGTAGGACTTAACGGTCGTTCAGTGTTTTCAGGTTTTCAACGGTGGCCTAGCTTGAATCGACTGATGAATCCAACTATATATATATATATATATATATATATATATATATATATATTACACATCAATCCATTACAATCACTGTCACTGATAAAATGGACGCAGTTACCTAGGTAATACTGTATTCGTTAAACAGTAAAGCATAGAAAAAACAATAAACTTAATGAATCATATACAAACTACCCACTTCTGAAATCCATTCAACGAATTTGGAGTTATTTTTTCCACATTACGTAAACACGGTAAACGAACTGAGAAAAAAAACATTTAATCCAGAATTTCTCTATCTAAACTTTAAAATCTAAATACTGAAACTACTCAAGTTTCACTTGACAGAAAGTTAGTGTAAAAAGTATCAATTTAATGATTATTATTTATTATTCATAGATAAGTTGATGGATTTGTTGTTATGAAGGAGAAATACAATATGATTATGGATGAAAGGTATCTTGATAGGACTAGCGTAGTCGAGTGGTGACTACTTATAAAATTCAAGTTTACTAAGTCAGTGAATGAATACCAAACAAAACAACGTACGAATTTATACATTAAAACATTCATCAAAACAAGTTCCTATTCAGACAAAAGAGATAAGAAATTATTATTTAAAGAATTACCTAACATTCTGAACAATAAATCACATATTAACGGAACAAATCATCCAATATCATCTTTCGATTTATCACCCAATTTGAATTCTATGATCAGTTCCATCACAATTATCCAACTTTTTCTACTAAACATTCCCAAGAATTTTCATAAAAGTCTTCATTTCAAACTCTCACTTTTACAATATTTGAGTTTTTTACCTAGTATGCCTTCGGAGACAGGGATGTTGTTGAGATATTCATAGCAAACTGTTGTGAATAAATCCAGTGTCTTTGGTTTTCCAATTCGATAACAAGATTTAAACAGAACATGGTTCTCATAAACCACCAGTCAGTTGTGTTGCATATTTTGCTAGTTTCCAAACAAAGGTTGACATACAAATTCCTAATGAAATTGTTATCTCCTTATGCAATATACCATTGGTGAAATATTCAAATTATTTGCGTAATAAGTATGATCGGATAATACTTTACTAAGTAAATATAGTTTTGATTGATATAAACAATTAACTTTTAAAGCACCAAAAAAATGTTTTCATCATATCCAATTAACAGCTTAGGGGTTGTGGAGATTGTTATGTTTTTGATTGAGATCATGTACCGATTGATGTTAGACTACCATTGAAAACCTGGAAGCATTGGACGGCTGTTTCGTCCTACTGCGGGACTCCTCAGCAGTGCGCATCTACGATCCCGCCTCGCGGAATTCAAACCCAGGGCCCTCAGTCTCGCGCGCGAACGTTTAACCTACTGGACCACTGAGCCTATCCTATTAATGTCTAGAATTTAATAGCTAGTTACACAATACAGTTAAGTTTACATGCAAGACAATGATTTACCCGAATTTTTAGAAAAACAAATCAAATACAACCAAACATACTGTTGTTTTTTATTAATCCCTAAAATTGAAATTTCACTATTAAATCCAAGGTTTGATAGTGCTGAAGATTTGATTTGAATCGATGACATACATCAATTAATCAATAAATGATTATCAATATCTTGTTCGTCTAGTTCATTAGTCCTGACCAAATTCTAATGATCAAATTACAGTGTAGCCACTGTTTTGATTGATTCATTCTATTTCACAGTTTTTTTATCAGCTGCATACAACGCAAAATTGCAGTTAATAATATCAGAAGTGGTGGAGTTTTGTTCTCTGAGCTGGATGGTTTGGTCGTGGAGCTTTCATCGTTCTTTTGAACGACATCATCAGCACAAACTCCACCTGAGCTACAAATCTTCTCCACCATCTCAATATCAGAAGTGGTTTTATAGAGATTGTAGTAATTTCAATGGTTGAGATCATGAGTCAATTGAAGCTAGACCACTATGGAAAACCTGGAAGCACTGAACAGCCGTTTCGTCCTATCGATCATTAACAAATGTTTAACATACTTTAATTTGTGAAGTTTGAATAAATATTCGAGACGTAACCAAAATCATAAGAATAAGAAGAGTAGGGATACAAATTGTGTAAATAAACATAGTTAAGATCGATATATATTAATGTGTTGGAAAGTAATAATTTAGAGTAGAAAATGTGTTGTAGTTATCAGTATTCTGGGTAGTATAATAAGAAGACGAAGATTATCAGAACTATGTGATTTATTAGCACAATACATTTCGGACAATCTGATCAGACACAATACACTTGTTAAGAACATTTATATATAAAAAATAAAAAATCAACTAGACTAGAAATGGAGGGTAAGAGAGACAAAGACAATAAAGAAAATAATGTGAAAACTCATCATTCTGGATAACGTGCCAATTTTACTAGGGTAGGTTTAGAGTGAGAACAAACTGTTTTTGAATATATTCAGTAGGTTTGAGTTTTTGTATGATTAAGGCTTCAATAAACCTTAGTGTCAGTAATCATAATTAGAGTTAAAGAGGCTATGTAAAGGTAATGAAATTAATAAATGATTGGGTAATTACTCAAAATGGGAAAATAAACCTCAATATGACGATGTAAGGGATGAATATTAGAAAACGAAATCAGAACAGAGATAAAAGTTTGGGAATAGGGTTAAAAAATTAGAAGTTAAAATAAATAAAGGTTATTAGGTGAAACTCCGAATCACTGTAACAGAAAGCCTAATCACAATTTTTTCCTGTATACATAGCTCAGGTAGAAAACTTTTGATAGTGATTGCCTCTGCAAAAAGGGAGCAAAATTGATCATTTTTATCTGTTGCTTGATTTGAATCCATTACTTACATTCATGTCATGTCCACTATCGAGATATCTGGAAATTACACTTGTAAAGACTTTACTTCCTTTCAGCAATAGATTGCTAGAAGTGTGCTCAGATTCAGATATATAACTACACTGATTGTCAATGAACCTTACTAATTTGCTAATTGAAAGTCAATGGACAGAATGAGTGTAAATGCAACGACATACTTATTTTCGAACAAAATTCTTATAGATATGATTTTTGAAATATATTACGAATAGATTTATATTGATCAATCACTAAGTAGTAATCAATTTTGTGTTTGTCTGAACTTTAATTTTGTTCGAACTCGATAATATAATATCAGTTTGGTGACATAACATTTGGTTGACTTTGTTTGAATGGTGTGTTATTGGGTTTCATACTGTTAGACACCTGTCAGTAAACTTCAAGAAACTGATTCTTCATGAAGACTGGTTACAACTGAGTACTCAGAAAGAGTAACTATTTCAGTTCTACAAATAGTTTTATGATAACGTGTCTGCTTAGGATACTCAACAACATTTGATTTTAAACCTTCAGAGAGGATTAGTTTCCGTAAGATTACACATACACCCTGCTGATAAACTTCAACGACTACAAGACTTAGACAGGAATTACTACCGATTTCCTTCAACTATATAAAATACACTTTACATGTGATTGTCAATTGTTTCCAATAAAATATAGAACAGTGTTGTCAAGACTATTAGATACATGATGTAGATAACACTTTCTGACTGATTTTAGCAAAATAGAATGCCGACACAAGAACTAAAATAGGATAGACTAAAGTTCATGACAATATGGATTTTTCACTAACACTGTCAAAGTGATAACAATTCAATACTGTTTACAAACAACGGAATATATCAACTGAGACATAAAATGAGAAAGGTTGGTTTAGCAAAGAGTTCTCTATTCGGTAATCATTCTTCTCAGAATCTTTGAGAATAGTGTTCTTCAGCCGATCAATGTCCATCATTGATTTTAAGGATCGATTGTTTTATTCGACCAACTCTATATATATTTATCAACTTCCATGTCCATGTGTAGCCGCCAGGTATGTAGATCGTTCCATGATACTTTATCCAAAAAATTCAAAAACTTTACTCAGCTTGGCTAAAGAGGCATAAGCGGCTCAATAAGAAGCTGAATAATCGAACACCTTG